GAGAAGTAGGCAAGACTCTGCAACCTCTGCTTCCTAGGACACTATAAGAATGTATTTCCGTTTCTATGGTAGAAACCAGAGAGCTCTTCTCAGAATATTGCCCGCCATCACTTTTTTGGTGGAGGCACCAGACATTGCTTGGGGAGAATCCTAGGACTCATGGGCTACACTTTTGCACTCCCACTTTAGGAAACTGGCCAACTTCAGTCTGGGGAATGTGATCCTTCCTGACCTTGCATTCGTAGTGTTATCACAGTGTTATCATAGAATCATATAGTTGGAAGAGGCCATGGGGGCCAATCACCTGCTCAGTGCAGGACTCAAATCAACCATCCAGATTTCTACCAAGCCCGACCCTGCTTAGCTTCCATGATTCGGTACGATCAGGCACTTCAGGCTATATGGAAGCATCCTTGGAGACCTCATCCCAGAGACAAGTTGGCCAGGAAATGGTTTGTCATCCCACCGGAGATGGACAATTCTGTGGCCCTCCAAAAGTTTTTGCCTGCAGTCCCCATCAGTGCTAGCCAGAATAGGCAGTGGTAAGGGATGATAGGAATTGTAAGCCAACACATCTGGAGGACTGTGTGTTGCTAACATGCACTAGACTGAAGGATCTCACAAGTATCCTTCCCTCTGTGAAATGAGCAGTTGATTGGCCTGTTTTATCACAGGAACTTCTGAAATGTGGATTCTGTTTTCCTGATGGGAGAAAATCCTGTCAGATAATGGCTGCCTCATGCCTGATGGGGATCAAATATAATAGTAATAGGGATCAAAAAGAAATTAGGGAGGTTGAGTGTAGCTTTTGGGGCACCAGCTGCCTATCCCAATTTTAGAAGATAAACAAAACTTCTTAGGGGGTTAGTACCTACTGCTAAATCAGTAGGATTTATTGTTGTCGATGTAAACATCATTATAATATTTCATTTATATCCTGCCTTTTTTCTCTCTTGTCACCCAGTAGCTTCATACCTGAATCAGGACTAGAATCCAGATCTCCCAAGTTCCCAGTCCAACACACTTAATCACCATACAGCATTGGCTCTTGCACACACATATGAAATGCGAAACACACACACACAACTTTAGCCTCTATATTTTCTTATATATTTTCTTCTCATAAGAGGAAACAAGGTGGGATATAAATGCAATGCTGTTATTATTATAAGAATTTTATTTTTTTATGAAATGTTTGCTTCAACAGAAGTAGGTGGCTAGACAATATTGTTGTAGCACTCAAAATATGCCAGAAATAGAAGGCATTATGTGCCGTGGAAAGTGCATCTCTATTGTCTTCTTTGGTTTTCAGGGTGGCCAGAAACCTAGTGCCATGAATAACCCCTCTGACAATGAGCTTGCCTTAAAAGGCTATATCTTGTTTCTTCTGGAGATGCCATTCTGGCATACTGCTGCTTCTAACCCCTCCCTTGAGGAAATCTTTATCTATTTCCGGCATCTGTCCTTCTTTGTGAATGGAAAAGTGTGTGCAGTGGGGTCTGCCTGCCTGTGCTAGCAATTAATTTTCTTTTCTTCAGCTGTTGAAGAGCCTATTGTCTTTTGGTGTACTTGGATGGATTTTGGTGGGAAGAAGAGGAATCTCTCCATAACTTCCCGAGCAATCTTTATTTGTGATTGAAAATATGAATGCAGGCAGGTAACCAGCTTCTTCAGGATTTTTTCTTGAATTAATGAAAATGTTGCTGGACACTTTTACAAAACAACTGGAGTCTTAGCTTCTGCCAACAGGAGTGGTAAGAGGCAGGAAACCAGCAGAGGGGCTAAAACAGGGGAGGTTTTCTCCTGCCTTTTGCCTTCATCACTGTGTGCAGAGCAAGCAGGTGAATGTGTAGAATCTCCCTGTTGCCTGTTAAACAATTGCATTTTCTTCTTGGGGTATTGCAGCTTGTTGCATTTTCTTTTGCCTGCTCTGTCTTTGTCCAGGTCGTTAATGGTAATCATGCTTAGTGCTTACACCACACTTTGTTAAGTATTCCAAGACGGTCATAAGCATCAGGCATAACTCCAGATGTTATGGACTTCAGTGCCCAGAAGCCCCCACCAGTATGACCAGTATTTAGGAACTTAAGGTGCTTGGAGCATGAAGTTTCCTAATGTGAAACATCCAGGCAAGTGACAGGCTTAGTTCAGATCTGTTCAGCTCATAGTTAGCTTACCACCAGCTTACCTTGCCATTGAAGGCTTCTCTTACCTTTTCTTCTGAAATGTACCAGGCAGGGATGAGCAAGACTTCCAGTGCAACCTTCTTCACATAACTATGGCAACCTGGGACCAGCTTCCTTGGTAGTGGTGGTGGTGGTATCTAGGAACTTCCTTTGGACAAGCTGCAATTTTGGGGTTCCTGGTGCCAAAGACATTGTTGCTACAGCATCCAAGGGTCTAGACAAGGCTAGAACAGAAACTCCTTGCTTGCTTCAGTTGCTAAGTAAGTTTTGGAAAAAAGGAAATGTGGCAGAAAGATGAGCTGACAAGGAATTTGCAGGTTCCTTTATTCTCCCTTTCAAGTATTTTCAGCCAAATGTGAGCAAATCTTTGTTTTAGCATAGTGAAATGGTTGGTATGTGTTAATATTGGGTCACTGCAACAAAACAATCCATTAACTTCAACCTCTTGGTATGATAGTATGATCAAGGAGTTAATTGGGGTGAAATGAGTAGCAAGCCAGCAACAGTGACTGAATGAAACTTGCACTTGTTCTTCTGTTTCATGTAAGGTGGTGATCAGAGTGGTCCCACTGTCTTCATCTTCCCATCAAACCTCTGCTTTTGTCACAGGTCTTGCAATCCTTTGTCCCTGGGCATATTTCCAGGGATCTTAGATTCCTCTCTTTCTTCCTGAATCCAGAAGCTTTTCTACGCACGGCATTTATTGTGCACTGATGATTCCTCACTCATGGTAGTTCGTGGGTGCCTTAAATTACATTCTTCTCCTTCAGTGTTCTTACAGGACCTTTTTTGAATTAGGGAAATTTGGGTATTATTTAGAAATTGTCCTCTGTTTTTGTAGTTCCACTACACACAGCACCATCTTGTGTTTGTTAATGGAACATAAAGGCAGAGAAGGAAAGTAGCCAGGAAACATCACATATAAAAGAGCAGATCTTAATCTGCAAAGACTCCAGGAGCATAAGCCTTGCTAAGCCTCATGTAGATCATTGCCATGCCTTACCATTCGCTTTGATTCAGCATCTCTCAGCACCCACTGCCGGATCCTCATCTTTACTTGAGGTGTTGTTTAACAACACCGTCATTGTATACATTTAGATACAAGGTTAAAATCTTCTTTCAGGTGGCACCTCATCTTTAATTTGTCACTTAGATTATTAGTGTTACTGCTGGCTGTTTGATATTTTTAGAGTGCAGTGCTTAGACAGACAGAAGTCCTACAACTCCCATCATTCCCCAGGCAGCCATGCTAGGTTTAAATGGTGTTTGAAATGTCATTGTTGTGCTTATTGTTTCCATTATTTTATTGTTTTGTTTTATTTGTATTATTATAAATTTCCCTGAGATCATTTGCCAGTCAAGTGGCATATAAATTTAAATAATAATCGCCTTACTGGTTGCCAAGGTTTCTCTTCCCTTCAGTCAGTTTGGAATGGCTCTGATGATATCACTTTTCACTCCTGTTACCATAAACATTGGAACAAATGCAAGGGATAGTAATAGGACTTTCCCTAAATTAACAATTTAAATAATGAGAGCAAGTTATTTGAGGGATGTTACAGCCACTGTGGTCATTGGCATTTTACTCCATTCTTTTATCTGATTTATCATTTACTATTCACTGTAGAATCTCCATATGAGGATAAGGAGTGGTAGGTAAATAAATCTTGTAAATAAATAAACCAAGTTTGAGGAGGAATTTTTAATATATTTGTCTGGGCTGTATGTGGGTGCTTGTATATTTGTTCCTATATGAACTGGTTCAAATAAATTTTTAAAGTTGCAGCAGCTTGTTAATAGAAAAGGTAATATGTAACTAAACCGAACTGATGCAAAACATAAACCGTTTGAGGACATTTTGGCTGCCCCCCAGAATTTGGCTCTTATGTTTGTACCTTGCTAAGTAGTAGACTTCTGCTGACCATTTACAAGGAACTGGTTCTGACAGTTCTGTTCCATTATGTATTATAAAATATAAATATGTTGTCTGTTTCAGCAGCAGAGTTCTCAAATGTTATTTTAATATTTCTAGGAATGCAAACCTCTATATGTTTAGAAAAAAAATCCTACAGCTGTCAGCATACTCCACACACCACTGAAATATGCTGAGACTGATAGGGCTATCTAACCATGCATAGTATGCCTTCTTAATTCTCCTAATATTCTAATTCCTTAACTGGTTTTGGTTTTGTTACATGCTGTCAAGTTGTTTCCAATTTTTGTCAGCTCTATGAATGAAAGCTCTCCTGTCCTTGACAGCTCTGCTCGGCTATTAATTCAAGGCTATGGCTTCCTTTATGGAGTCAGTCCAGCTCACAGTAGGTCTCCCTCTTCTTTCAACTTTCCCTAGCACATTTGTCTTCTCCAGTGAATCTTGCCTTTTCATGGTGTGTCAAGAGTATGACAGTTTCAGTTTTATCATTTTTGCTTCCAAATTAAATGGTTAATGCATTTAAAAACTTCTAGCTGTTGAAACAAATGACTCCAATTAATCAAGAAGCAGTTGCTGCTCTTTTTAGATGTTACTTCTTTTTCATGGGGTACTTAGAGAAAGGTGGCGCCATTTTAGGAGAGCCTTTTCTCTCTGGTACAGGTGAAACATGCTTCTTCTAAGATGCTTTGCTCTTCTATGGCCTTCACTTCCACAATTTAAAATAGGTAGTTTTTGTTCAAAGCCATAGGCAGATTGATTCAGATTTACTCAGACTAATAGCTTGAAATTCATAGAACCTTTTAAGCTTCAACTGTTGTGCCATCAGATGCTTCCAGATCATTCACCAAGAGCTCATCTTTGCATATCTCAATTTTGTTTAGGAAATGGCTGTAAGAGCCCTCAAACAGACTGGTAGTAGAAGCATTGAAGCAGCTCTGGAATACATTAGCAAGATGGGCTACCTAGATCCTAGAAATGAACAAATAGTCCGCGTAATTAAGCAGACCTCTTCAGGTAAGCATGACCATTCTTTCAGTTTTGTTTCTGTTTTTTTTCACTGTTTAACCTGGATTTGATTGTAAAGTAATTTTTAGAATTACTTGTGAAGTATAATTTCTCAGGTTGGGGAGATATGTTGGACTTGTGGACTCTGTGGCAATCTAAACTTGAAATTCCATTCCTGGGTCATTTGTAAAGTCATCTGATGCAATCAAGAAGAAACCTTGCACCATCCTTGCCTTTATTAGTAAAGGATTTGGAGTGGAGCTCATTAAAAAAGGACAAATGTCCCCTAATTGGCAGAATTTTGCATGATTACAGATATTTGGAATAAAATTGCAACTTCTGATTAGCATGTATATAAAGAAGTTTATATAAATGAGCATGCAGGTGCCACTCCTATTACAGCTTTCCTTATTTCTCATTTGGTACAAATGGAACAGTAAACACTTGAATTTACCAGGAGCAGCAGTTTGGCCATGTAGTATAGTAATTCAGGTTTGTATGTGCAAATGCATGTAAGGTTGAGTTACTATATAATGCAACAGTATTTTTTTACACATTGGTTTCCTAATCTCATCCCATCCATTATCTCCCATTATCCATAGGAAAGAGTATCATGCCAAACAATGTAACCCGTAGGCCAAGTTTTGAAGGATCCAGTGAATCATTTCCGTCCTATCACCAGATTGCCAACCCAGTTTATGAAGGCACAGGCTTTGGGGCAGAAGCTGCTAACATGCTCGGTGAAGTTTCCAGGCCATATATGGACTACTTTGCTTCACAGCCTACAACCATGAATGCTCCAGTACAAAGGCCATCTGCCTTAGGTTCCCACAATGCACCGGGTGGCCATCAGCAGAAAACATATTCAGTTAACATAGATTCCTCAGTAATGAACTACCCAGTGGCTGGTCACAGCAGCCAAGCTTTGCAGCTTCAATCCACCCATAGCTCAAACAGTCCTCACTATAGCAGGCCACCTGTGATGGTGCAGGGTGAGGCTCTTGGGTATGGAATTCAGCGGAGCCAATCTTTTCAAAGCAAGTTACAGCAGGATGGAGGCTATCCAAGCCTTCCAAACAAAGGAACAGTTTCTCAGAGTAATCCTAGCCACGGGTTCCAACAAGCCCCAGCTAATCTGTATATGCCCCATGCTCATCACAAGCAACCCATCCCATCTTCTCATCCAGTGCACGTGATCACCAGGGGCCCAGCATTTACAAATGAATTTTCAGACAGCCTGCCACAGGGTCTGTTAACGCCATCTAGAAACAGCCTGAACATGGACCTATATGATATGAATAACCCTCAAGTTCAACAGTGGCAAGCCACCTCTTCCTCTTCCTCTTCCTCCTCCTCCCGTCGTGATTCACTGCAGAACCCAGCTTTGGAAGCATCTCCCCGGCAACATGTTCCCTTCAGGCCAGATGCCTGTGTGCCGAGCAGAACCAATTCTTTTAATAACCATCAACAGCAGATGCCAGTATCCATGAGGCAGACTCCTCCAGGCAAAGCGGACACTTCCATTACTTCTCCAAATACCATCACAGCGGTTACATCTGCTCATATTCTCCAACCAGTGAAGAGCACAAGAGTGATGAGGCCTGAACCTCAGACTGCTGTAGGCCCTGCTCATCCTGGCTGGTTACCAGCCCAGTCGTCAGCTGTGGATGGCTTAGGAATGATTGAACAGCACTCCCTTGCTGTTGGAGGAGCAAACTCCTATCAGTTAGATGTTGACTATAGCAATCAAGAGCTCAGGTGTCCTCCACCACCCTATCCTAAGCATTTGCTGCTACCTAATAGTTCTGACCAGTTTGATATCAGCTGCTTACGTACTGGACTCGAGCAGACGATTCGGGGAGTCCCAAACTCAGCAGGCAACAAAACTGAGGAAAATGGGGAAAGGAGTGACAAAAATAAAACACCCAAAGCTGAAAAACTGAGTAAGGATAAAAAACAAATCCAGACATCCCCAGTGCCAGTGCGGAAGAATGGCAAAGATGAAGAAAAAAGAGAGTCGCGAATTAAGAGTTATTCACCATTTGCCTTCAAGTTCTACATGGAGCAGCATGTGGAGAATGTTATAAAGACCTACCAGCAGAAAATAAATCGTCGACTGCAGTTGGAGCAGGAAATGGCCAAGGTAATTATGTGTATGTACGTGTTTCTGTTTTTAAAAAAGTTAATAGTCAACTCTCTGTATTTAAAGTTGTTTCGATTTACAAGGTTTCACACAACTGGGTGATGCATCATGATTTCATCTCAAACCAAACATAATAGAGATTATGCTTTCTGCACTTCTTGAACTTTGGTACTGTGCTACGTGCACACCTGTGTGTCTTCTCTACTGCTCACCTCTCGAATCATTTTTACCCAGATGTGGAAAGAAAAGCAAAAAGCTCTGACACACTCAACCCCCTTTGACTTCTGGGATTAGCTACATGTTTAAATGTTAGCTTCCTTGCTGTGCTAGACAAGCTAATATGCCTTTCAAGAGCCAAAAGAGAAAATAGTTTCTCAGGATGTCGACTGGTAAGCCTAATACCAGACTTTTCACCTGTGAATGCAGAAGCATAAACTGAATGTCCCTTCAGAGATTTCCTCTGCCCTTTGGACCAAGCTGTGGGGTGGGAAGCAGGGCTGTGCTGATTCTTCCCCCCTTACATCACCATGCACACCAAGTAGCTCACACCAAGATATTCATGCAGTACATGTGGATGCCAGATGGTGGGGCTATTTACTGTGGCACCACTCCCCTCTCACTCATTACTCCAACACGTGAGGGAAATGCTTGAAGAGGGCTCTGCTTAAATACCAAATTAAAGTACTAGACCTGTTTACTGTCTCTATGTGCTGTGTCTAAATACCGAAAGCAGCATTCCTTGACATGGTGCCTTTCAGAGTTTTGTTCTGGCTAAGGGTGATGAGAATTGCAATCTAAGATACCTGGAGCGCACCAGATCAGGGAACTCTGTTGCAGAGGCTGAAATTAAACAAAAGTATTTCAGCCATTTAAAATTCTTCTTGATATACATGTGTTGTTTTCTCAGATTAATGTGGTGATCCTTACTGTTGTTCTTCTACACCTTCCTTGTCCTATTCTTACCCAGGCTGGTCTTTGTGAAACTGAGCAAGAGCAAATGAGGAAGATTCTGTACCAAAAGGAGTCCAACTATAACAGGCTTAGAAGGGCCAAAATGGATAAATCTATGTTTGTAAAAATCAAAACTCTGGGCATCGGTGCTTTTGGGGAAGTCTGCCTTGCCTGCAAAGTAGACACTCATGCTCTGTATGCCATGAAAACCCTGAGGAAAAAAGATGTGCTCAGCCGTAACCAAGTGGCTCACGTCAAGGCAGAGAGAGACATCCTTGCAGAAGCAGACAATGAATGGGTGGTAAAGCTCTACTACTCCTTCCAAGACAAAGACAACCTGTATTTTGTGATGGACTACATCCCTGGTGGAGACATGATGAGTTTGTTGATCCGGATGGAGGTCTTTCCAGAAAAGTTGGCTCGATTTTACATTGCTGAACTCACATTAGCCATAGAGAGCGTGCACAAAATGGGGTTTATTCATAGAGACATCAAACCTGATAACATTCTGATTGATCTTGATGGACACATCAAACTGACTGACTTTGGCCTCTGTACTGGATTCAGATGGACACACAACTCAAAATATTATCAGAAAGGTCTGATGCTTATGGGCATGGGGTGGAAAGATCACCATCATGCATTTCTGTTCATTTCTGTCCTGCCCCATATCTGAAGCTCTGAGGGCTGTTCACAACTATTAAGTTATGAAATTGTTGCTAATGTCTTCATCATGTTGTAACAGACAAGGAGCTAGGTCTTGAAGAATTTATAGATATAAATTCTTAGGGCATCAGAAGCTGCCTTATATGGTCAGACCTTATATTTACTATTTACTATATTTAATCTCATCCTTTTTCCTTTTGCAAGGAGCCCAAGGTGGCTCTCAAGGTTACCCTAGCCCTAACCCTTCTCCTTTCCATTTTGTCCTTACAACAACCCTGTGAGATAGGTCAGGCTAAGAATCATTGACTGGTCCAAGTCATCCAGTGAGATCTGTGACCAAGTGGGGACTTGAGCCTAGCTCTCCCAGGTCCTGGCCTGCGCTCTGGGCACTGCACTCTGTGCACTGCACCACATTAGGATTACTGATCTCTTTGGCCATTACGGTCAGCTTTGATCAGCACTGGCTTTCTTGATTTTGGAAAGGAGCTTTTCCAACCCTGGCTAGAAATGCAGGGGATTGAATCCAAGACCTTCTGCATGCATGGCATGTTCTGTACCCCCCCCGCCCCCCCCCCCCCACAAGCCATGGTCCTTCCTCTATGCAGGGGACACAGAAGGAGAAGGCGAGGTAGAGCTGAATAGGGGAGGGATGTTCATTCATTTCAATGGCACATAGTTAGATTAAGGAATAATGAGTTGTTTCAAAGGCATTTGTTTATTGTAGAGATTAGCTGAATGCTAACAGCACAAAATGAGCAATGCAATGCAAATGTTTAAAAATAAACCATGGCAAAGGTGCAGTTTGAGGAGGTGGCTTGAAGGGCTTAACAGAGGAAGCTTCATTCTGGTGTCACAAGATACAGTTCTTAGCAAATGGGACATCAAGGGAGCTGCTTAGGGTGTTGGAGCTGAAGGAAGGTTTTGGACAGGAAGGCTTAGGGTAAAAGAGCAGAGGAATAAAGAGGCAGGCAAAGTGAATGAAAGGACATAGAGTAGGCACAAGTCAACATAAGACAGGAATGGCCAATGTGTGGCCTTCCCCCAGTACATTTGTTAAAATAATTTTGGGATTTTTTTAAAGGTGCCCTAAACACTATGGACAAAAGGTTAAAAATAGCTTGGAAACAAGGTACATTTAACTACTGTAGCACATTCTTGTGCCATGGAGCAATTCAGTAACAAGCCAGCAGATTTGGCCCTGTTGGAGAGCATATCCTGCAGAATGCATGGAAGTTTGTGGCTTATGGTAGGGGTCTGGGTTTTAAAATGGCCCAACTTCAAAAGCTGTCTGCTCCTGAAGTAGAGATTTAAGGAGTGGCAGCACATGATCATAGCAAATAGACAGTTGGGTGATTTCAGTAGCAGAATTTTGGGCGCTGAGGTATGACAACAGCAAACAAAAGAGGAGTATTACATAGTAGTCCAGGCTAGAATACTTATAAACAGAGATGTCTGGAATAAGCGCATAATAACCCAAAGCTCTGCTGTTTGTGAAGTTACATAAACTCACTGATGGTGCCAGTTCCTCATGCCCCAGAGCTGAACTTCTTGTCTTTCAGCAAGAAGTTACAATACCAGAGATACCTTATGACTACTAAGGATTTTAGAAATAATTTTAAAATTAAATTTTCAAGATGTTACATATAAAAATATAGACATGAGTTGTGACTAACTAAATGACAAAACTTTGGAGCAACACATCTCAGAATATTGTGATTCAGAAAAAAACATAGTGAGTGGTGTTCATTTGGTTTCTTGGGAAGTTTCATTTAAGTTCTCTCAGGTAATCATGTTTGTTCCCTGTTTTTTTTCCTCTTTGAAAAGGGAGCCACATCAGGCAGGACAGCATGGAGCCAAGTGATCTTTGGGATGACGTGTCTAATTGTAGATGTGGAGACAGGTTGAAGACCTTGGAGCAGAGAGCTAAAAAGCACCAGAGATGTTTAGCTCATTCCTTAGTTGGAACCCCAAATTATATTGCACCGGAAGTTCTTCTTCGTAAAGGTAGACAATTCCTATCTCTGTGAGATAAAAGTTACCAGGCAATATGATTCCTGTTCTCTAGTTATGTCATGAGGAAAGTTGGAGGTTGAAAGTTCTGTGTTTTGTATCTTTTTATCCTACGGAAGCATAATCATGTTGCCCAGACACTAAATCAGTATACTTTTTGTCCTTAGTGATGTGAGTTGCTTAGATACTCTGCTGGTCAGTAGCAACCACAAATGGTAGAGAAAACAGCAGGACATCAGTGTCTGTTCAATGCCAACTCATTTTCTTGAGGAATTCTGGGCAAAGCACCTCAATGGGATCACTCCTTCAATGAGTACATTCTCCTCATCATTATCATTAGCTCCTCCTCTTTCTTATCACTCAGGCCACTTACCAGTGCCTAACTGCTTTCTGCTTGTCCAGCAAGCTTCAACTGCTCCTCCTTCATCAATTGTCCACTATTTCTGTTGTCTGGGCCAAACCAGGAAACAAATGAATAAGCAGCTTGCCATTAAGAGGAGGAGCAACTCCTTGTCAGTGGACCACCACTGGGTTGGGGTACATGGCATGTGCCCAGCCACCCCTAGCCTTGGTATCAGTCCTGTTTGCTTCTATTTGAACCTTGGAGTTATTTGAAGCATTAATACTCAAAAATGAAAACAGTGAATTTGAGGCAGTAGTTCTTTGTCTTCATCATGCACTCAGTGAAAGATGCACACTCTACTTAACGGTGCCCAACACAGGAGAAATGCTACAACAATAGAATCCTACACATTTTACTCAAATAAATCCTGCTATGTTTAATGGGGTTTACTTCCTAGAAAGTGTGTTTAGAATTGCAGCCTAAATTTACCGAAGCTGTATGATGGAAAATTTGAACTTCTCAGTCAAAATTTTCCTTCAATGTGTGCACTAGTGCAGTACTGTGAGGATACTTAATGATTCACTTTGCTTTCAAGAGCAGAGTCTGCCCTCGGAAATGCAGTTAAAGCCTATTTCTTTTAATCAGAAGGTTTTTTGGCTATAATTTATTCTTCTGAGAGAAAATTATGAACTTGTATGTGACCATTTTAAAAAATGGATTGATTAATGTCTTCGAAACACAAAAAGAAGGTGTGCATAGTCCTGCTCTTACCACTGGATAGCTTATTTCTGCTGCTTAACTTCTAGGATACACTCAGCTTTGTGATTGGTGGAGCGTTGGTGTCATTCTCTTTGAGATGCTTGTGGGACAACCTCCCTTTCTGGCTCCTAATCCCACAGAGACTCAGCTGAAGGTACATTTTCTTCCAATTGGTTGTTACAATACATATTTTAATACACACAATAACAAGTATTCTCTTGGTGGAATTAGATATTGTTAAACATTAAAAATGAGGTGGCTAGATGGAGTCACTGGGGCAGTGGGTGTGGACTTGGGTGGACTCTGAGGGATGGTGGAGGACAGGAGAGCCTGCAGGAATGTAGCCCATGGGGTTGTGATGAGTCAGGCCCGACTTTGGAACTAAACAAAACAAATGTTAAAAATATAATGCAAATATTAAACAGAAAAAGTACAATATAAAATGACAGACAACAGGGTGATAAACAAATATAAATAGCCACTCTCCATAAAGATCTAAAAGGGTTGGATCTAGATTTATGCTGGTCAGTTGCATTGGTAGAAGTGGAACTTCCCACCCCTTTTTCCTATGGCAACCTCCAGAAAAGTACTAAATAGAGATTTAGGAGTTTGTGCTAAATGTGGTGAGCTGTTTTTGTTTGGGTGGTGGGTGGAAGGATTGGGCAAAAGGACCTTTCACAAGTGGAGTCTTTCCTCTGATGAACAATCACTTCCTTTCGTGGAAGGCACATTTTGGATCCAACCTTCAAAAGCCTGGGAGAAAAGAAAGGTCTTTGCCTAGTGCCAAAAAGATAACAATTTATGTGACAAGTGAGCCTCCTTGGGTAGGGAATTCCATGAACAGGACACTACACCCGAAAAGATCCTTCTCTAGTAGCCACACACTTCTTCATGAGCAGGTACATATGGGTGGAGACATTCCCAAGCCATTTAGAACTTTACAGGTCAACACTGACACTCTGAGTTGGCCTTGGGAACAGATTTATATTAGTTGTGCAACTTGGAAAGGATTATACCAGACCCATCTCTTGGTTTTCCCACTCAGTTTGCTTCAAATGAAAAATCTAACCTGAATTAGGTGGATATTAGGTGGCTATACATATCAGTAAGACATTGACTGAATTTTCATATAATGATAAGCTAACTTTCGGGGTTCTGAGATGTACATCGGATACTATTTTGAATGTGCAAGCTGCAGCGGCAGCTTGTCATATTGTGTGAACCTGGGCATCAAGCATTATTTGTGAGCTAATCAGTGCTTCAGTAACCCTAGAACATCCCTTGTTCATTCACAAGCATGAAGAAAGTGGATGATACTAGAACCTGGTGGGAGATCCAGGACAGATAAGAAGCTGTACTTCTTCACACAGTCAGTTAAACTGAGACAAGTTCATGAAAGAGCAGACTATCAATAATTACTAGTCAAGTAATCAGTAGTGTTGGGAGTGAGACAGATAGCTGCTTTGGGCACACATTCTCAAGGGCTAGGCTGCTGGCTGGACTCAGAAGAAGAATCAGAGGAGGAGGGAGAAATATGAGTGGGGGGGCTTGGAATGTGGACCATTTCCAGACACTGAGATGCAAGAATCAGAGATGGTTATCTCAAGGTCAGATGCCCCAGGTGGGCAGGCAGTCTCTGGGAATAACAAAGACATACAGTTGGCAGGGGGAGACTTGGAGGGGGGAAGCTTGTCAGTTGCCAAAAAGGCAGGCACAGCTCTTGACCCCATAATGCATAGTCAGCAGAGGAGAGCACCCCAACCAGAGGGTCAGCATGCAGAGCGGAGTCCTGCTCATTTTCAGAAGGTCCATACTGAAGGGACGGAGCCCATGCATGCTGATAAGGAGAGTTCCTGGAGGTCAACACTAAATTGGGTTCAAGCTGTCAAGAGCTAGAGATGATCCCTACACACATTCAAAGCCACAGACCTTTCTTGCTAAACTTCCTTTATTGACCAAAGCATTTTCCAGATGCACAACACACAGAAGGAATGTGTGAGAGAATGCAGAGTGGTTTGTTGAATCCAATCTACTTGTTATTTGATCAGTATGAATTCCATTAAATAAACTTCTCAATTTGTTAAGCTCATTTAAAAGAGTTCTATCTAAAGTATAGTATATCAATGCAACAAGAAACCTCAGCAGAAGAAAAAAAGCAAAGTGGTGTAATTAACTGGTTGGAAATATTTCTGATACTATATGACAGTCAGTATACCAGAAGGAGTAAGATTTTCTTAATGTTTTTCAGAGAAAATAATGTTAAGATGATCAATTTCTATAATTTTCTTCTAAAATAAATAGAGAAAATCCTACTTCATCTTGATGCTGCTTAGCACATAACACAAATCCAGTTGGGATTTAAGCAAAGCTATTTATATTTGGATGTCTTAAATTTCAGGAGGAATAGTACTGAATGCTAATTGCATGTTTCTCCTTTCAGGTGATAAACTGGGAGAATACTCTGCACATTCCCTCCCAGGTCAAACTTAGTCCTGAAGCAAGTGATCTTATCACAAAACTGTGTTGTGCGGCTGAAGAGCGGCTTGGAAGAAATGGAGCAGATGATATCAAGGTTCATCCTTTCTTTGACTCCATAGACTTCTCCACTGATATCCGCAGGCAGGCAGCTCCCTATGTCCCCAAAATCAGTCATCCAATGGACACCTCCAATTTTGATCCAGTTGAGGAAGATGGTCCTTCAGATGATGCTAGTGAAGATAGCACCAGGGCATGGGACCCACAGACTTCTTCTAGTGGCAAACACACAGAACATGCCTTCTACGAGTTCACTTTCCGAAGGTTCTTTGATGACAATGGATACCCATTCAGATACCCAAAGCCTTCTGGGCTAGAAGTAAGCCAGTCAGAGAACTCTGATGTAGAAAGCAAAGATGGGCTGGATCAGACTGGAGCCTGTCAACCTGTATATGTGTAAAACAAAGCCCAACACTTCTTTCATAAATTTAGGGTCTTCCGTATATAGTCTTTAGTTAACATAAGTTCTAGATGAGATTAATGCAAGTCTGGAAAGGCAAAGACTTGCAAACAAGGTTCTAAGTGCAAGCTGGTTCTGATTTTAGGCTGTTTAACATTGTAAATAGGTATGTTGATGAGTACACTTGAAACCTAGATTTTCACCATAATTTCCAAGGGCTGGTGTGTTGCCCTTCTTAACCAACTTTTCCTTCTGGGTCAGTGTTCCATGCTTCAAGCATTGACATGCTTCCACAGCATTGTGCTATTTTTTTAAGTGAGCAAAGAGCACTTATTTTTGTTTATAGCAGGGTTGTGTTTTTCCTACTAAATTATAGGGATTAATTTTGACAAATCATGCTGCTGTTCCTATTTTCTCCTGTATAATTTTTTTAATCCAGCGCACTTATGTCACATTTTTAGGAAAATGCATAAGATTGAAGAACGTGTAATTAAAGGTCTCTGTGCAATAATGTTTAATAAGAGAACTGTCTAATGTCCTAAATTTGCTAGTGCTGTTTTTCTTCATCCCGTAACCTTTATGTGTATGGGCCTGTTCTCACTTCACAACAATGCAGCATGGCTTAATTTACCCAAGGGAACTGTTGTGTTGTGCAGGGCAGCTGCAAGCACCTGGCTTGCCATATTGTGCAGACAAAGGTAGCAGGGGCTGTTGGAGGGCTAGACAATCCTCAAATAACCCTGAAACAAAGCAGGGGTTACATGTGGGTTGTTAAAGCCACATATAACCACTACCAACTTAGTTTGCATGGCATAGCAAGCTAGGTGCCTTCAGGCACATGGCATGTCATGGTGGCGCCCATGGTTAAATTAAGCGATGGTGGGTTGCTGTGTCATATAAAGTAGGTCTGTGTTTCCACATTTCAGAATAATTTCATTTCCTATATAATTTTTGAAGCTGCTTTATTTCCCTTTTTAAAACAATTTTGGAATTTTAGTGTAATCGGAGTGTGAGCAAGTGGCAGTTGGGGTGTGATTACAGTGACTGGTGTGTGGAGAATGTTGCATGGGCTGTGATAATTTTTTCTGTTTGAAATGACCTTTTTCTTGCCATTCACAGGCAGGTCCTGTGTATCCATTTTACTGAGGATCTACAGCTGTAGACCTTTAGAATTTGTGTGTGGATATATCGTGTGGATGTTTTTTCTATTATGATTGTGTGCCACCGCTATGTGTAAAACAAAAGACAACGCTCTAATTCACATTAGGGATTGGTGGTGTATATAGGGGAAGGAAGATGTTGGTTGAACTAATTAATTTGTTTCATTAAATATTTATCTTTCCACAGAAGGATAAATAGCAAACTATTGCTTTCATAATCAGTGTGTGGCCCAAGATTATACAGTTCACTTACCTAGTACATGATATGTAGTGTTCAGTTGTTTGAAACTTGCCATATAGAATTCAGTAGTAATGGTATCTCTCTGCGAAAAAGGATTTTTCCATTCTCTGTGCCTTAAATTTGATTCAGGAGCCTTATTTTCTTATACTTAAAATTAATAGGACTTTTCAGAGCAGGAAAGTTAAGGGTAATTAAGTGACAATGTATGTATCTTTCTGGAATGTATTGAACATATGAAACTGCCTTTATACTGAGTCAGACTATTGGGTCCACCCAGCCAATGTAGTCTACTCTACTTGGCCACCTCTCTTGAGCAGAGGTCGTCCAAGCCCTGTTACCTGAGATTATTTAATTGGAGACACAGATCTTGGGACATTATATGTATTGTACTTTGTCATTGAACTGTAGTTCATCCCCAGATGCAGCATTTCATCATTGTGACTATATATTGTGGTTATGGCAAACCACTGTACATCGCTACTCTTGAACTAAGGGGAGACAGAAGGTATATATCCATTCAGTTTAGATTTCAGCTCCCAGAAGTCCCAGCCAGCAAAGCAATGAGCAAGAATGCAGGGAGTCGAAGTCTAAAACACGTGGAGATCCACTTTCTGCTCACTCCAAATTTTGGCAATTCCTGAGACCTTATAACTGATGTCAACACATCTCAGCATTTCTAGTTGCTTCTCTGTGATGACCTTGAGGTACAGAAACTGCATGCATGGCAAACCATGCAATTTTCTAAAGCATCAGCAGGTGAACATGAGCATCAGTTATAGCAACAGTGTAAGAAAAATGAGAGCAGATAGATTTTTCTGAGATACCTATCTTGTGGTCACATGACCATATAATGATGTGTATCATTTATCAACATCATATTGAGGCAACAATGACCGACACTCTCCAGTGCTGCGGGGAATTGTGAATTACTTTGTCCAATTTAAATAGATCTTTCCTAATCCTGTATACACAGAAGTCAATATATTTGGGTTGCAGCCTTTGTTTTCTAAATGAAGTACTCAGACGCTGGCCCTGGTTATACTTGGTCTATTATATTGCTATATATTATGATGGACCATACCTAATTCTTCATCTCTAGCAAATGCAAGCATACATTAAAATGTTTTTTTTTTAATTTTTTAAAAATATGCATTTTATTAGCTATGTTAATGTATGGATTATTCAAAGTGATAATGGAATACTAAGGATAATTAAGCCATAACTATCTTCATTTATATTCTATATATACCTAAATAGATTTCCCCCCTCCAAATGCTTAATTCAGATTAGTTTAACAGTCCTATTTTTAAATGATTGATTGCAATAACATTTGAGGGCAATATTCCACTGTTTTTCTTTAACTACTTAAACTGAAGCCTCATTTTTCTTATGTTATTCACATATTATTCCTTAACATTTTAGCCTATCATATCGTACCCATTGTCTAGATATATAAAGCAACAACACCTATAAATCCATCAGGCTAAAACTAAACAAAACGACTGTGTATTTGTTTACATTTGTATGAAAGGAGTGTTCTGAGGTATGCAGTGCTTGTGTTGTGACAGTTTATGAAAGATTCAGTATTACTACTTTTTATATAATAATGCCATTTTTATATTTACATCTATCTGACATTCTTTCATGTGGTAGGTTCTTCCTCAGGAACTCAGTTTAACTGTTATTTATTTATCATTTGCCTTTCAAAAGCTTCTGCTGGCACAATTTATTATTAAAAAAGGAAACAAAATCCAAAATGTGTCTTTGTGTTCTTGTGACCTATGCAAAGTTTGAAGATAAACTGTAATGGCATAGCCCTGTCATTTTTTGTGAGGTAACATGTTACCTCACAAAAAATTGTCTGCTTAAATATTCCTGGTTTTTGGTTGCCTCATTCTGGAAACAGCATTGCCTTCCTTTTCACTTCTGTGAAGCCACTTCTACCCAATCCCCCATCGTGTAAGACAGCACCAGAACCTCTTTGGAGGAGCACAAATGGATGCATCTCATGGAGGGGACAGAAAGTGTTCCTTCTATGAACTTTTAAGTTGATTTCTCTCAGAATGCAAGTCATTTTTTCTGTGCAAAACAAAAGCCTGCTGTTAACAGAGCAGCATTAATTTAGAAAAGTACAGTACTATTGGCAGAAAATCAAACATAATTCCAACATATTCTCACACTCTTCAATGTACTGAATTTCTCCTGGCAGGCAATAATAAATTTGGAGCTGCATCTGACATAAATAGCAAATGTTTAAAATCTGAGAATGCTTTTGCTGGCAGAGAAGTGCATGAAAACATGAATGGTAGTGACATGCTGGGTGGAATTTATGCTGGCTCTGTTCATGGCACTGGATTTTTATTTGTTTATTTGGTAGCTCGATATAATCCACATAATCTTATGCAATTCTATTCTGAAGTAAATCCCTCTGATTCAACAGAACTTGCTCTCAAGTAAATGGATATATGATCTTTGCATGTTTAGATAGAAGAAAAGCATACAACTCCCAGAATGCCCCAGCCACCATAGTGTAAGAATATGCTATAGCTTGCACAGCAGAGAAACAAGGCTTTCAGCTTCCAGAATGCATCAGACAACATTCTGCAATTCTGTCTTCTCAGTGGATCAAGATAGGCATGACTAGCTTGTCCCACTGGTTTCAATCAATTATACCATGCCTAAGTCTAGATCCAAGCCATTAAAGTAAGTACATGTTCACACAATATATAGTTAACTTACAGACTTCACCACATAGAGATACAAAGATCAGCTTTGGTGGTTATATAGAAGAGGGAATTCATGGAAGGAAGGTCTGTCAATGGCATTAGTTGGCAGAGTGCCATGCTCCTGTTCACACTTCAAGATGGCCATTCTGTGCTCTCGCCATAGCATTCTGTAGTCAGCATGAAAAGCCCTCCCTGGGCTGTTTTAGGGAGGCTTGCTCCTTGAGGTGCTAAGAATATAAGAAAAGCCATGCTGGATCAGACCAAAGATTCATCTAGTCCAGGACTACATACACATGGTGGCAAGACCTCCGCCTGTCCAAGCTCCTTAGCAACTGGTGGATGCAGGCATGGCACCACTGGTAAAAGTGGCAGCACATGGCCCACAAGGCTAGTAGCCACTGATAGCCTCCTTTCTCAAGTGTCTGTCCAATCCTTTTTTAAAGCTATCCAGATTGGCGGCCATCCCATAGCCACTGTTTCTAACGCGTAGCGTTGAGTTTGCTTTCTTCACAGCAGGTGCACACTGGGCTGAAATTTTCATTGAGTTGTCCACTACTACCCCAGATCCATTTCTTGCTCAGTCACTTGTAGCTCAGATACTATCAGCATATACTTGAAGTTGGGTTTTTTTGCCCCAACATGTGTTATTCTACACTTGCTTATATTTAACTGCATTTGCCATTTTGATACCCATTCCAACCTGGAGAGATTTCTTTGGAGCTCCCCACAATCCCTTTTGGTTTTAGCCACCCTAAAAAGTTAAGTGTCATCAGCAAACTTGGCCATGTCACTATTTAGTCCTAATTTTAGATAATTTATGAATAGCTTGAAAAGTATTGGTCCTAATACAGAACCCAGTGGGACTCCACTGGTTACAAATCTCCACTGAAAGAATTTGCCATTTATTCCCACCCTCTGCCTTCTGTTCTGTAACCAGTTAGTGATCCATATGATCACCCTGCTTTTATTCATTCAGTAGCCTTTGGTGAGGTACTTTGTTTTCCCTTTTCATAATTCTACAAAACCTGGGGTTTCACTGAGCCTGCTCTCCTGCCCAGGCATCATTATCAAGCTTGAATGCAAAGTGTGAACAAGCAAGCGTTGCCTTAGGCTTCAGGCAGCAGCATCATGCAGCCAAAAAAGGTAACGGTTCCAGCCGGGGTTTGCATAGCATGATACTTCATAAACTGTAGTCCCTGCACCATGATAGAGTCAGTCACAAAACTGTCTTTCTACTACATCCTGTCCCTCTCAAGCCACGCAAGCAATGGAGGCCCTCCCTTAAGGTGGGTCTTTCTATGGAGTCATATTCCTGGCTGCAAGTCTCTTTGAGCACTTTGTGACCCCGCATGGGTATGATTCCTCTCTTGGGTCTCAGACCTCTTTGTAAGCAGCCTGCATTCCCATGGGTTCAGAGCACTCAGCTTGCCTGTCTTCCAAAAGTAGCTGAGTCCCCCCCCCCCCCCCCCCGCATGTTTGCTTTTGCCACTAGTCCCCAGCTCTCATACCCTTAACACCTTGGCAAAGCCTTCGGCTTTTGAGGATCTGTTCACATGTCATTTGAGGGCATGTCTGCAAAGCTACATTAGACCCAATTTGTACACCTGAAAATGTGTCTGTCTGGTACATAAAGGATGCTTTTTTGGCTACAAAAAGATTGACATTTCAAGAATTTGTCAGCTATTAATATTAACTATACACTGTACCATAGTATAGAATGCATATTATACTATAGAATATACTATATGTGTTTATTTCAGTATTTTCAGATGGTTGCATTTGATTGTCTTATCTGTTTTATGCCACCTTGAAAAATCATGCATTTTGAAATGCAGCTAATACACTTTCCGAACCTGTAGAAGAAAACCAATAAATGTGAACTGACAAACAACATGTATATTTTATATCTGTTTATTTTTAGTGCACACCCCAGAGTTAGATAGAAATCGTTCTTATGATGTATACTGAGGAAGAAACCAAGGACAAAGTCCCATTGCTTCCCTGGCAGACGCTTATAAGCCTCTGAACTCAGATGCTGTTAGGCACATCCAGTGCCAGGGTGGTGGAGGGAAGAAGGCTGAACTGCCAACTAGAATTAGAGCAATTTTGCAGTTCCAGCCTTCCCACCACCCAGCACACCCCTTTCCCCACTCCAAGGCCCAGGTATGACCTTGCAGGGGAGGGCAGCAAGGTAGGAAGACCTCAGTGCTTAGGCTCCAGGAAATCGTAAGACCTCCCAGATGCAGTCAGGAGGCCCTAAAATTAGGCCTTTAATACTGTATTAAATAATGTGAATGGAAGATGCATGTCTCATTTATCTCTGCTGTGTCAGCCCATAGAAAGTTATCCTGTTGGCAAGCTTTGAGGGGGAAAGTCATCCATTTTGTTGTTGCTGCTGCTGCAGTTGCCCTGATGCATTGTCGTGTAGTTGGATACAGCCACTTGTAAATGCCATTATTTGAGACCTGAAATAGCATGTTAATGTAGCTCCATGCCACCAGTCCTCCCTCCCTCCCTCCCTCCCTCCCTCTCTTGGATAGACTGAATGCTGCTGGCAATTCATCATGTGCTGGTTGGCATGAACCAGACTTTAATTAAAGGCTGAGAAGACATTATTTTTAGAACAGAGCAGAATTCACATAGCAGATAAACAGTCTATCCACTTATTTGGGATGATTGCCAAAAAACTGAGCTTGTGCAGTACATTTTGCGGATGCCAGATAATGGATTAGTTGTAACACTGTCAACCTTCTGTTACTGCCACATAATCAGTGGCAATCCTCTATTCTCTTATTTCGGGATGAGGAACTTAAGGCCTGGAGGGCAAATCCAGCCCTCTGTGACCAAGACCCTTACCCTGGTCCTTCCACCCACACAAATTGGGAGTTTCCCAGGTTTGGTGCAGATTTTCCCCATTCTAAATGGTTTAAATGTTTCTCCTCGTGCTTAGTTGATGGCAGTAAAAGCTTTAAGCTAACATTAGTTAGTGTGGTCTGTATTTCTGGGTCCACCCCTTCACCTTCAGGTCCCAGCATCCTCAAGAGCTTCTCTAAAATCAAATTCAGCCCTTATGCTAAAGAGGATCCCACTCAATCTTATTTCAGTTCCCTTTTTTCCTACAGCTTGATCTTAAATGTCATGTTCCTGCAATCAAGTTAAGATGGCTTCCACAAGAGCTCCTCAGTATCTTGTTTTAAAAGCTACACAAGTCTTTTAAAAGTCAGAATCTAGTACCTCCATGGTGGGGAAAGTGTGGGTCTCCAGATGTTGAACTGCAGCTCTCTCACCATCAACTAGGATGATTGAGGCTGATGGCATCTAACAACATCTGTAGCTTAGTGACAGAGTATTTATTTATTTATTTGGGGTATTTCTAACCTGTCCAATCACTACACGTCTCTGGACAGCTTACAACAGAGTACATACTTTGCATGCAGAAAGTCCCAGATTTGATCTTCAGCATCTCCAGGGATGATTCTGGAGAGATGTCAGCAGTTGGTGGCTACAGTGCTGGATTAAGAAGACCAGTGATCTGATGCAGTATAAGGCAGGAGATATATATATACACTGTGTGTATACACACACACACACACACACACATACACACACATATATCTTGGGACAGTTCACAACAACAATAAAATGAAATGAAAAATAAAAGTAGCACAGCATCCAATATTAGATATAAAACCACAGATTAAAACAAATTAAAATAGTGGAAGAATAAAAAGGGTTTTGCCTGACGCTGAAAGGAAAGAAGTGTTGGCACTAGGTGAACCTCCCTGGGGAGCGTGTTCCACAATCAGGGCGCCACCACAGAGAAGGCCCTCCTACAGGTAGCCACCCTCCTCATCTCTTTCAGGGAGGGCTCCCGGAGGAGGACCTCTGCCTCAGATCTCAAGGGGTGGGAGGGCACATAGGGAAGAAGGAGGGACTCTGGAGGGACACTCATTAGGATGTTTTCCTGTATTTCCTACACTTGTGAAACACTAAATCAAGCTTCCCAACTTGTCATACCACCTGCAATGCAC